TTAAGTTTATAAATTTAAATATTAATTTTATTATATTTGTAGATTTAAGATAATATTAATAATTTTATCTATTTTTTTAGTATTTAATATATTATGAATGTATTAAGTTATTTATTGGATTAGATAAAATGAAACTAATTTGCTATAATGTCTATACTTATAGTTAACTGTATAAATTTTGTGATATTTTATCAGTTTTTCTTACTTTACTTATGTTTTTTTTTTATTCAAATATCTTATATTCAGAAAATATCACTTCCATAAGTATTTTCTTTAATCTTATGCAACGTTGGCACAAATTATTTATTTTGGTAAATAATTTTTAAAATTTTTATTTTTATATTTTATTTTTATTAATTTAAAATAATCAGAAAGGCAAGAGAGGCAACATGAAAATAAAAATTATTAAAATTTCACTCTTTATTTTCTAAATTAATTTTCTTCTCGGATCACTCTTATAAAAGAATAATTATTTCCACAACAAATAGCTAATGTGAATTAGCAACTATACAATAGAAAAAAATAAAAAATAAAAAGTAGGAATGTTGGTGGACAAATGGAAGGAAAAACTGCTGTAAAAAAAGTGAAAGGAAAAACAAAAAATCCAAAATTTTAAAAAAGAAATAAAAAAAAGAATATTAAATGAGAAAGAGAATAATGATGGAATCATGAAAATCAACTGATACTGAATAATGTTAATAAATTAGCTAGGCACTCAATAAATTATCCACCTACTTATCCTGCAAACAGAGACAAGCAACACATTAATAAAGTATGAATACAAAGCAAACCATCTCACTTTGTATTATTTGTGGAGGGTACATAAATGATGGCGTCTCAATAAATATACAACTAAGTTTAAGTTTTATTTTAAGATATGAGGTATCCATCATGAGACCAGTTGAGATATGACACAATCAGAAACCAAGCCATTAAGAGATAGAATATGTTTTGAAAAGAATGGTATATATTTTTAAGTTCAGGGAAGAGAAGAAAGTCACTTTCTGTGTCACCTAATAACTATACTTTTAAAATTGCTATATATAGATTAAAAATAACTAAATATATTATTTTAATTATAATAGTTGAATAATTTATAAAAAAAAAGTAAATTTTAAAAATAATATTATGCTAAAAATGAAAACATCATTCATTAAAAAAAAAAAAGGTTAAAATTGTATTCAATTTGATTGAGAAAGTATGTATTTTCCTTCTCGGTGTCTTGTAGTACTCGACTGATAAAATAAATAGGAATTTGCTTTTTGTCATTTTCTTGTACAAGTGCGGCACTAAGAGCGTTATCAGCTGCTGCAAGATATAATAGGAGATCAACTTGGTCAAGGGGAAATTGGTGAATGAGGATGACATCCCGGATGACATGAGCAGTGAAGAAAACAATGAATAATTATATATAGATATATTTTATCTTACAGCATAATAGTATGGTTTGTACTTAGGGTCTAATTTACTGTGGCCTTCATTGGCTAAACTTTTGATAATCATTATAATATTTTGAATATCTTCCTGAAGGTTTTACTTAATTATGGTATTGTACCGAGAATTAGCATACATAGGTTTGAATGAAACTAGTGTTTATTTTAACAGGATGAATAATAGGATGAAATCGGCTCAAACTTGGCCGTGTTGCGTCGTAAATAATTAAATGGCTAAGATTATTGCTCAAACTTGGCAAAATTATTACTTGAAATTGACTAGATTTTTGCTCAAACTTGGCAAGATTTTTGCTCAGACTTGGCTAATTTTTTGCTCAGACTTGGCTAATCTTTATGCTCTAACTTGGCTAAATGTTTCGCTCAAACTTGGCTAAATTTTTTGCTCAAACTTGGCTAAATTTTTTGCTCTAACTTGGCTAATGTATTATTCACAAATGGTGCTAGCAACTCAGACTTGGCTTTGTACCTTACGTAAATGATGATATCGGGTTATCGTAGTTGATGTATAGTGGTGTAAATTTTAAGATAATAGATTGAATCATAGGAGAGTAGATTAAAAGTAAGGGAATAGAATACGAGAAGAGAGTATGTATGATATAGACTTATAAACCAATTACATCTCTTCAGTTTACCTCAAGCATGCCTCGTTAAAACCTCTTCAGCGAAAACCCTTTTTTTTATTTGGGAAAAAAGACTGAAGTAGGAAAAAGAGTACAATACCTGGGTGTACATGTGTTTAATTAAAATAAAACTTCAAATGAGTGGCATTCCAAGTTCTGGGAAGAACTTTGCCATTGAGCTCTGTTAGCCTATATGCTCCGTTTTGTAAGCATTCCAATATACGAAAGGGACCTTCCCAATTAGCTGCAAATTTGCCTGCTGATGTATCTTTCCTAGCATCACCTTAGCTCGCCAGACGAGGTCTCCCTCGTGGAAACATCTGGGTTTGAACTTGGAATTATATCATCTCGCAGCTTGGAGCTTACATGCTTCTTCTTGCACCCTAGCACACTCCCTTGTCTCCTCAATTAAGTTGAGGTTTATGTTCAATTGCACTTCATTATGAGATTCATCAAACGTCAATCTTCTGTGACTTGGTTCACCAACTTCAACAGGTATCATTGCATCTGAGCCGTAGGTTAACCTATAAGGAGTCTCTTGAGTGGTGGTCTGCGGTGTGTAATGGTACGCCCACAAAACACTAGGTAATTCTGGAACCCATTCTCCTTTTGACGATCCTAGCCTTTTCTTAAGTTCTCGAAGAATCACCTTATTCGCTGCTTCAGCTTGGCCGTTTGTTTGTGGGTGTTCTACTGAGGTGACTTTGTGATTGATCCCAAGTTGCGTCAAAAATTGTTCATAATTTTTGTCTACAAATTGCTTGCCATTATCTATGGTGATTGCTTGAGGTAGGCCATACCTGCAGATGATTTTCTTCCACGTGAACCGTTGCACATTAGTTGCTGTAATTCGTGCTAAAGGTTCAGCTTCAATCCACTTTGTGAAGTAATCAATCCCTACAATCAAAAATTTCAATTGACCCTTGGCAATTGGCAAAGGATCGAGTATGTCCATACCCCACCACGCAAAAGGCCACGCTGATTGCATTGAGTGTAGTGCTGTTGCGGGTAACTGATGTAGGTTACCAAATTTCTGACAAGCTTCACATTTTTGTACATATGCTTTACAATCTGATCTCATAGTTGGCCAATAGTAGCCATCTCGGATCACCCTTACAGCCATGGACCGAGCTCCGGAGTGCATACCACAAATACCTCGATGGATCTCGTCCATCACATATTTGGCTTGATCTGTGTCTAAGCATTTGAGGAGAGGCATGGAGAAACCTCGTTTGAACAACTCGTCGGCTTCGATTGTAAAGTTGCACGACTTGTTTTTAACTTTAGAAGCTTCCACCTTGTTATCTGGTAAGATGCCATGCTTGAGGTATTTCCAAATATCGGCCATCCAACCTTGCTGATAAGAACTATTGGCAAAGACTGCTGTAACTTGGCAACTAGGGGCCGCTATTTTTTCTTGGATGATCGTCCGATGTTGGCCTGGACGTTTAGTACTGGCAAGTTTTGATAACAGGTCGTCCCTTGCATTCTGCGCTCTTGGGATGTGCTCTATTTGGAAAGCATCGAAAAAAGATGTTAGATGAGATATCATAAGATTATACCTTTGCAGTTGGGGTTCTTTGGTTTGATAAGTTCCTCCAACTTGTTCTGTAATCAGCTTGGAATCACTGCAACACTTGAGTCTCCTAACGCCAAGGTCTTTTGCAAGTGTTAAACCTGCTAACAAAGCTTCATATTCAGCTTGGTTATTGGTGGCTTTGAAGTTGAATTTGATAGCAAGTTCAAGCATCACGTCGTTTGGCCCTTCAAGAATAATGCCAGCACCACTGCCTTTCACATTAGAGGATCCATCTACATACAATGTCCAGATTTGTTCATTTATAGGTGGAACAGGGGTGAGCTCAGCAACGAAATCAGCCAGACATTGGGCTTTTAGTGGTCCTCAGCTTTCATACTTGATACCGTACTCGGATAGCTCGACTGACCAAGCTATCATCCGTCCGACCAGGTTGGGTTTTCTGAGTATTTGCTTGATCGGGTAATCCGACTTTACAATAACCTGATGACCTTGGAAATATGGGCGAATTCGGCGAGATGCAACTACCAATGCCAAAACCAGCTTCTCTATTGTCTGATACCGTTTCTCGGTGTCTTGTAGTACTCGACTGATAAAATAAATAGGAATTTGCTTTTTGTCATTTTCTTGTACAAGTGCGGCACTAAGAGCGTTATCAGCTGCTGCAAGATATAATAGGAGATCAACTTGGCCGTTTGGTTTTGACAAGATGGGTGGATGTTTATTTATTTTTATATAAATTTATTTTTTGGACAATAATTAATCAAAATCACTCGCACCCTATAATTATTAACCACTCACACATATTTAATTTTAAGTATTCTTATCACTTATTTTATTTTATTCTTTAAAAAAAATACATAAAACCACGGGATACCTTTTTTTATACGTATTTGATAAACTGAATTCAAAACCTAAGAATGTTACAGGTTTAATTAGGTTTTCTTGTATATAAAAAAATAATCTAAATATAAATATGACTTAAATATGTTTTTAGTCCCTTAAATTTAGGGTAAATTTTTTTTTGTTTTTCAAATTTAAAATTATTATTTTTAGTCCCTATAATTTCAAAAAATATTATTTTAATTTTTATACTCAAATTTTACTAAAAATTTATCATATATTATTACATAAAATTTATTTACTAATATTTTTATTAGTAAAAATATTATATTAAATTCAATTAATATTATTTAATTATTTTAATTTATCACTTTTAAATATATTATTAGTGATTTAAGGAATTAAAATAAAATTTTAAAAAATTAAAAATATATTTAAGGCTATAAATATTTATGGCTCCACCTAAACTCATTAATACGTAGTAGAAAGAGTAAATTTGCATGACACTGACAGGGATGATTCGGATACGTTGGTTAAAAAGTGAGAAGTGAGAAGAGCCCCACACGAACCCCCATGCCACCTGTGATAACCAATTATTATGGGTAGGGTAGTAGATTCAGAAGTTCCAAAATAAATGAACTTACAAGGACCCACATTCATTAATAAGATTTTATACGTTATCTTCAACCACTGGCACTTCCCAGTCTGACACTCACTCCAACCCAAAATGGCCCAAAGCCCAGCAGCGGTCGAGCCCACTGAAGCCCGGCCCCTCGGCGGCACCGAGTACAGCTGGTGCAAGGCCGTGCCCGTGGGCACCGGCATCACCGTCCTCGGCCTCCTCCTCTCCAAACAGCCCCAAATCCCTCTCATCCAAAACGCCCTCCACAAACTCCAAAATTCCCACCCTCTCCTCCGCGCCAAGCTCCACTACGACCCCTCCAACAACACCTTCCACTTCCGAACCCCTCCCAGGCCCACCGTCCAGATCCACCCCTTCGATCTCCCCTCCACGGCCCAAATCCTCCAGGCCCAATCCAATGACGAACCATTCCTCGCGCTCCTGCACCACGAGATGACCTGCCACACGTGGCGCCATTTATCCGACGCCGACGTCCTCCACGCCGCCGCCTATACCATTTCTTTCGATCGCTTCGCCGTCATCTTGCGCCTCCACACGGCGGCCTGCGACCGCGCCGCCGCCGTTGCCGTGCTGAGGGAGCTCCTGCGGCTGGCGGGAGGCGGCGCCGGTGATGAGGCGGCGGAGGAGAAGGTGGGTGCGGCGATCGAGGATCTGATCCCCGAAGGGAAGATGAACAAGCCGTTCTGGGCGCGTGGGATGGACGTGCTTGGGTACTCGCTCAACGCGCTGCGGTTTTCCAATTTGAGTTTCGTAGATGCGGATTCGCCTCGGAGTTCGAGGATAGTGAGGTTGAAAATGAATGTGGATGAAACCAAGAACTTACTAGCCGTGAGTTATCTACCCCTACTTTTTTTTTTCTTCTGCAAATTGATATGTTATTATTTCTCTCTATATTTTGATTATTTTGGGTTTAATATCTCACTGCAAACCCAACTTATTTAAAAAAAAAAAAATTAACTACAATTTTTATATCTTTCTAAAGATTTTCCTTTTAGATTTTAATAATTATGTATTGACAATGGCAAGTTATGTCCGTAAACTAATTACAAATCATGATAGATGTATGACATTTTTTTAGAAAGGAATTATGAACTTATTATTCTTAATTGAGGTGAGATATCCACAAGATCGAAATTCTTATAAATGGACTCATGGACTAAACATAGAATGTATTAAATAAAATAATATATCACCCATATTGGGTAGAATAATTGATACATAAGGGGAGTTAAAACTTAAAACCTTTGGACACTATTTTGAGTTATTTTTTTAATTTTTAATTTTTTGGTACCGATATTAGTGGGATATTGGAATAACGAGATAAATATAATAATATTTTTAAAACATTAATGTCTTTATTGTAATTATTCTTTTTTATTCTTATGTCAATACAATATTATAACATGTCATATCGTTGCCGGTACTGCGATTTTCAAAATTGGTCATATTTATGTGTTACTATCCCGGTTAGCTTCGTTGATTTTGGTCCTCTCGACTGTGACATATCGTTGTTATTTTATGCAAATCTCCAGATTTCCAAAATAATAATGACAAATTTCTTCCTTAGAGACGAATAGGGAGATGTATCGTGTTGTGTTAGTAATTTTGTTTGGACTCTTGGAGTCGTTGTCTGAAAGAATGATGAGGTTGGGGATAAGGCATGGGGTGCAAAATTGCATATGCTTAGGTAGGTGATAACTCCAATGTCCAAGTACGACAATACCCAATTGCAGCATAGTAATTGACTATGCTCGTAAGTCATGAGATAATAACTCCAGCTCTTGTATTCAGTTGATGGGTCATTGCATCAGCTTCACAAAAAATAAAACTTTTGTCTTTGTATCCTGTGTTTACTTACTTCATTATCGTTATTACATTGTTAAATGTGAGAAACTAATCATTTATACTTGATACCACCAGAAATATGCACTTCAACCCACCTAGAGCATTTTGCTGGTAAAAGTATTATAACTTGGCTCATGAGCACTGGCTCTATCTTTTCAACTGTTAAATTAATTCTAACCAGGATTTTAAATTGCGATCTGCAAATGGATTTTATGTTTACTGCAACCGCATCGCACTGCAATTGTGGCCACAGTAATAAAGGATTTGCAATTGTGACCCTAACTATGATCTAAAATCATGATTCTGACTATTGCAATATCTATTTGCAAGTCTAGAGAAGGAGATGAAGATACTTTTTTTTTTTTCCCAAAAAAGAAAAACTCAATTGGCACATTATAGAGAAGTCGTTGGTCTTAAAAGTCAAAGCTACTAGGAAGGGAGAGTCTCTATTACCAGTGAGGAGGGGTTTGTGTTTCAGTTTCACATGTCACAGCCCTGTGGTTTGATCCAAACTATTTATAATATCTATTGGATTTATCGGCTAATAAATTGATAAATGATGATTCATATTTGCAGTAGGGAGAAAATTACAGGCAATTTTATCAGCTGCTATTTTCTTTCTGGTACAAACCAGTTGCAATGTTATATTATCTTCTTTTTCGTGTTAAGGCATTTGTAATTAAAATCCATACTCCAGATAAAACAATAAGGAAAGTTAGTATTAGCCAGTATGCCTGATAGAAGTTTCTTCAAAATGCCAAAACTACTGGTTATAATATAATATGATGTCTTATAATGTGATTGTTATGAAGTCTGATCAATACGGCATCCTGTTTACTCACTTTTTGCTCATGATCTGGTAATTTTTTGGATTAAGTTAATTATGCAAGATCATGTAGGGATGCAAATCAAGAGGGATTAAACTTTGTGCAGCACTTGCAGCAGCTGGAATGATTGCTTCATGGACCTCTAAATCCCTTCCAGATTATCAAAGAGAAAAGTATGCTGTAGTAACACTTGTTGATTGCCGCTCACTTCTTGATCCAGTCCTTCCCAGCAACCATGCTGGTAAAACCATATTTTCTAGTAATTTTTGTTTGTTTTATTATGCTGCTTCTACTTTGACATCAAACCTGTTTGGGTAAATTTTTTCATAAGCACTTCTTTTAAAGAAAAATAAGAAGAAAAAAAAATCAAATACAGTTAGTTCCTCTATCAACTAAAACTAGTTTATGCATAAGTTAAAAATAAGCTTTTGGAGAAGTTAATATAAGAGAACTTCTACAAATTAGTTTATAAAAAGAATTATTTTATTTTTTCTTCCTATTTTCTCTACTAAAAATGTTTATGGAGAAGTTTATACTTGACTGGTTTACAGAAATATGCTCTGGTATTTTTTTTCAGGTTGTCCTATGTGCAATAACTTGGAAAGATTATTCTTTCTTATATTATCAGTTAACATTCAATATTAGTTTTTCTAACTACTATTAATTTTTAAATGAGACTGCGAGACCTAATTAAAACAAGGAACATGCTTTGTCCGAATCCACCAATTAGGTTCATATTTATTTGAGTGGGTTAGAAAGTGACATTTTCAACATAAACAATATCAAGCCTTGTCGTGTTCCTTGTATCTTGATAATGCTTTTATTTTTATTTATTTCTTTGGAAAAATAAAAACTATTTGTGAATGGTTAGGAAAAGGAGAGTCTGCCTCTTATACTAATGAAAACTATCACTTGTTAATGAAATCATTTCCTATACAGCCTTAGTAAATTAGTTAGTTATGTCAGTGATATGACATAAAACTATTCATATGTCTCCATATAAAATTCCAACCTTTTGAAATAGTTTATTACCTCCAATACATGGTACACTGGAACTTCCAAATTATTTGTAATCCGAGCATATGAAAGAATGTGATACATTTTTTCTTCAACTGTTTTTGTATAATTTTGACGTTCTGCCAATTAATCTATTGTTTGGTTCAGGATTTTACCATTCTGCCATCCTGAACACACATGACGTGTGTGGAGAAAACTTATGGGAGTTGGCAAATAGAAGCTACACAGCCTTTGAAAATGCTATGAAGTGCAACAAGCATTTCACAGACATGTCTGACCTGAACTACCTAATGTGCAAGGCTATTGAGAATCCCGGTTTGACACCATCATCATCACTCAGAACTGCATTGATCTCTGTGTTTGAAGATCCTGTCTTTGATGACTCGGCTGAAATGCATGAAGAGATTGGATTGGAAGACTATATGGGTTGTGCTTCTGCTCATGGTGTTGGCCCATCCATAGCCATATTTGACACCATAAGAAATGGAAAGTTGGATTGTGCTTGTATATATCCATCACCCCTTCATTCAAGAGAGCAGATGGAAGGACTAGTCGATCATATGAAGAGAATACTTGTGGAGGGTTGTAACATTGAAAACCAACAAATTGAACCATAATTCAATTCTGAAGCTGAGCAAATGGTCATAATTTCATGATCAAATTCATAAACTTCGTTGCCCTTTCAATTTCAGTTTGTGACTCTCCTTGGTATATTAAATGATAGTAGAAATATAGTGCAATTTGCAATGAAGGATTCAAAGCATTTGCAAAAGTTGCTTTTACATCAGTATAATACCCTTTAAAGAAAATGCAGAGATTCATTTTCTACTGCCAGATGGCCTCAAGAAATGCAAGGTTTATTGGTTATTCCAGTTTTTAACTTCGACAGTATTAAGTTAGAATGATGCTACTCACACGCATTTATACACATAGTATTAAGTAAGAATGATGCTACTCACGCATTTATACACATATAACCTATATAATTTTTATCATTTTATTACAGATGATTCTAGTTTACCTCTTTAACACTTTGAGTCTGTCATCTTACACCATCTTCATTGATGTAGATTTGTACCAAGCATCTCCGCAGTAAGCATTTATTTATTATGTTATTGCTTATCTTTTCATTTTTAGACAATTCAATTGCAGATGATAAAATATTTTTCAAGACTTAAAAGTTGAATGGAACTTATGAAAGGAATAAATGACTAGCAATTTCGTGAAAAAAAAAATTCAAAATAAACTAATCACGTTTTCTCGCCAAACTGGTGTCTTGTCCGGTCTCTATTAATACTTCAATTTGGTTATCAAGAAAAATGATCCAGTTGTGTTACTTTGGATCGTACTAATTTAACTGTGAATTATTTTAGTTCCTTATTTTTCTAAAGGTTAAACTATCAATTTAATCCTTGAAAGTGTATGATTGTATGTCAGCAATATTTCCTTGGCATTTCTGGAGGAGTGCTAGTAAGTACTTTCTTTAACATATTCATTTTCATTGATTAGAATATATTAAAAATTATAAAATCAGATGAGAAAATTATTAAATAGGATGTAAAATTCATCAAATTATATATATATATATATATATATATATATAATAAAGTTTAACCAGTAAAAGATAATGTGTTTTAAAGATTGCGACAAAGTGTATTACGAACATTTCTTTGTAAGTTCAAGTTTCCTTGATCGTTGGGTTATTTTTAAACTAATCTGTTCTCGAAATGTTTGGTTACCGGAACATGTTTTAACATTAAACTGTCTTAAATTTTCTTTTCAAAAAACAAGTGTCTAAAATTTTGCTCAATTTTTCCTTCTGTATGTGGGGTGAAGTGTACAAATATTACTCTGACACGAGTTATATGATCTGAATGTGTAAGTGGAATTACTCAACCAACAAAAAACTTTATATTTAGTTATTCACCGTTCGGCAAGTAAAGTCCGAGGGAATGGAACTTAATACAAGTAAATTCAATGCAGCTAGTTCTTCTTTTTTTCTTCCAAATCTAGGCATTACAAAATTTCCAGTGAGACACCCAGTTGACTAATTGAACGTGCACAATTGTTGCCCCTGATTACTGAGGTCACTTTTGTCGCACTGGATGCCAGTTGTAAAAGTAAAGGACATGTTTGCTGAAATTATATGAGAAAAATATACTAGCTTAAGCTAAGGATAGACTATAATATAATTTATACTTCACTATCATACGGCAAAAACTAATTTACATGTCAGATCAATCCTAATTGAAAACTGTTTGTAGCAATTGTTTCAATTGAAATTAAAGCTAGCACAGCTAGCCATCATGAAGACCTATGTTCTAAGTCTGGCTAGAACATCCAATAAATATAAGCCCACCAAAGAGAACATAGTTCTGATGCATTGTAACACTAATTAACCAAAAAAATTAATTAACATGGCATGGCACTTTAAGCAAAATCTTCAAAAATCTTGGCTAAGTCAAATTTGCCATTGTTACATTCAATAGCATTCACAACCTCCTGAAATGTGGAAACACTGCATGGAACCACCAGGCCATTCCTCTGTGCAAACCCAAATTCATTGTATGCCTTTTCTAGCAGAATTTTGAATAGAGGATGAGAAAGGTAGCTGGTGGGGACCACATATCTCTGCCTCTCCTCACCAACATAAAGTGCAAAAAAACCAGTTGGGGTTGTGCTAGAGGGTGACTCCTTTTCCTCCTCATACCCCTTTAGCAAACATTCTTGGTAGGGAGGGTCAGGATCAGCTCCACCAACAGTCTTCACTTTTCTGGCTAGTTTCTTCAATGATACCATCTTTTTCCCTAGCATTTTGTGTCCAACTAAACCAAGCCCTTCAGAATTGTTTCTCGTGAAAGATACTTGTGGTCTTCAGGATTGTTTCTCGTGAAAGATACTTGTGGTCTCTGAAAAACAAAACTAAGCATGAAGCCCTTTGAGAATATGGAAGGGTGGAGGAGGGAATTAGTGGCTAGTGTGCAAGTTGAAGGGGGGATTTATGATGGTATATGTAAGAGAAAGAAGGTGATGATCATAGACAAAAATGAGAGAACAAGGAGGAATGTTGTCCTTTAGAAAAGTCCTCTTTTCCACGTTTGAATTATAATGTCTTGAGCATGGAAAAATATTCTCAATTCTTCCAAGTTGTCTTGAAGTGGCCGTTGGCTTAAGCCTGACTTAATAATAGTTAAGTTAAGGTGATGAAATTAGATAACTTCACATATTGTTAAAAATTGTGGAAAAGGACACAAGCAATGTGTGGCACACTAGCACTTAAAAGCCGTAGTAGAGCAGCATGATAATACAGTTGGTGTGTGTGAGTCTCACGTCCACATTTGTTGGTTGTGAGTTATTAGGTGGCAAGTGCATACGTGTCATTTAAGTGGCGCAAACCAAGGGCTAAAATAAATTAAAAATGGGTGGCATGTAATTAAACATTTGATATCATTCATTAAAAATGATAAGACCCCACTAATCCGGTGGGCGTGTTTATTAGTGGTCCACTCCTTAGGAATCATTGTTGTTTGAAAAACTAAAAATGGATTACATTCTTGTTTCACGGGTTTAATTAATTTTTCTTCTTATGATCTTATACGCACACCAAGGAACTCTCATCTAAAATCTCTCAAATTAGTAAAAGCCACAAAAATGGTGAGCCACGAAATGGTACAATAATACATGTTCCTACTATTGAATCACATTTTACAAATCCCAATGAAATCAATTGTCTAAACAAAATATATAAGGAAAATTTCAGGGAAAATCAATTGTCTAAACAAAATGTTGTCACATGAATCAACGATTTTGGATCTAGTATCTATACCCCTCTCACAAGTCATAAGGACCCACAACGTGCAAGGAGAAAAGCAAAAGCAAGTGAGTTGAAATTTTAAAGGTATTCGTACACATTACTAAGAAATCTTTAAAAAAAAATACTATAAACGACCATGATTCCATTAAACTTTAAAAAGTCAACATAATTTATTTAAAAAAGTATAGAAAACAAAAAGAATTAAGAAAAAGGTTAGCTAAGAGCCCTTATAGTTTGGTTTCGGTCAAAGGAAAATGGTTCCATTGGTGACAAACACGAGGGTGGTGGACTGGGCCGGGCCGGGCCGGGCCATGGAAAGTTTTTGTGGGGTTGACTGGTGAAACACGCGTTGAGGTTGTATTATTATGGTGTTGTGTTGTGGCCCATGATTGGGAAATCACTATTCTTCTGTTTTTGTCGACAAAATTTAAGGGTCCCGTACAACGTTTGACTGTGGTACATCTTCTTTTGTTTCTCATGTCATGGCGTTAGGTACGGAATTGTCCTGTGAATTATTGTAGGGTTACTGCTTTCTCTTCCGGCAATCCCGCACCAATCAAAATTACGTGATCATCGATTTGTTTATCACATCCAATTGCTTCACAAGTTTGATGCCTTTTGTTTTTGTCAACATCACATTAGATTATGTGTTTCTCTTACCCGTGTCACATGTGAGTGAGTTAATAGAAATGAAGTTGCCATTATTTAACTATTTTTGAGTTTGAACTTTGGATATGTATATAGTTGTGTTGAATGTTTGAAAGAAGAGTCTTGTTATCTATGATGGTTTTGTACCTTTCGTAGAAAATAGATGTAGTGTGTACAAAAAAAAATAATGTGTTATCGTGATTCTTTGACAATGTAAGATTAAACGAGATTATTAAGTCATTAATTATAATAGAAAATATTTTCTATTTCTCATTCTTGAGGGGATGACTTTGACATAAGAAAGGATTTAATGTTTTCACAAATTTATGGCTTGTTTGGTGGCAAGATACAAGTGCCAACTCCACTGAAAAGTTTGAATAACATGATTGGATACAAAAACAATCATAGTAGGAAAAGAAAAGATTCTAAATATTCTATTTTATTTTTTTGAAAACAATGATCGGGTGTTTGGTCTAGTGGTATGATTCTCGCTTCGGGTGCGAGAGGTCGCGAGTTCGATTCTAGCAACACCCCTATTTACATAATTTAGTTTTTTTTAATTAGGAATAATTATTTTAAAGTTTTCCTTCAACAGAGTCATATATAAAAGAAAAAAAAATACTTGAAAATAAATTAAACATACATTAAGATAGCATACTGCACCTATAATTATAAAAAATTACGTTTTTCATGCTCAGATTCTAAAAATATAAATCAATGCAGTAAGCTACAGTTTGTCAAGTAATTTACATTTTGATTGGTAAAGGGGGCAATGCATAATGCTGTGTAACAGGGAAAAGCTTGTTTAAAGTGAGAGTGTATCTAAAGGTTACATGTAAAGGTATAATATATTCACTCATAAAGTCATAATCTTTAGTGGTTGAAGATTACTGTAATTTGAAATAGGGTAAATATATTTTCACTTGCTTATTTTATAAATAATTTACTTTTAAAATAGTGCTGTCCACTAAATGGGGTTGGAGCCTAAGTGCCTGCAATTTTCAAAAGCATATAAAGCCACAAAATGTGTTAAATGTAGGAGTCAAAGTCACACAAGAAAATGTATTTTATTAAAAAAATGTAATAGTTTTTTTATTGTTAAAAATGTAATAGCTTAAGTTGTGTTATTTATTGGAACTAAAAACATGGAAGCTTTTTTATTTTTATATTGAACATGAAAGTTTTATATCTTCACAAGTTTTGATGATAATAATAAAGCATGATAAAAAAAATTATTAAAGAGGATACAATTTAACGCATGAATTAACAATAATATGTGCTTTTGACTTATACACAATTTATCGGTTGATCGCTTTATACACGTATGTTTCGACTTTATCCACACACGGATATCACATACAACTTAGAGGAGACAACTAAAAAAAAATTACCCATCCAGAGATCAACTTACTTGTTGAAGGGTTCAATTGGGCTCTCGAAGCACTACATATTATCCATACAATGAGATATTAAGTTCGAAAACATTTTTAACTCTTCTCTAGTTTTCATGTATCATAGCTAAGACATGTATCTAACACACGTATCTATAGTTTATCAACTTAACAACTTTATCAACTTTCAATATTCAACTAATCAACTTTAACAACATACAACTTATACAACATTCAACTTTACATCATATTAGCTTAAACAACGTAATCATCATATATCTTTACAACATTCATAACTTTGTTTAAACACCATTAGAAATCAACTTAAGCAACTAAAATAACTTACTATGTTGCAACATATTCAACTTACCACAACTTGTTCATCATTCATCATATGATGCGCAACGGATTTCGTCTTGATAACCATATCGTCAACATACACTTCAAGGTTACGACCGATTTGACTGGTGAAGACATTGTCCATGAGTCTTTGATAAGTGGCTCCTGCATTCTTGAGTCCAAAGGGCATGACATGGTAACAATAATTGGCTTGTTCTAGAGTATCAGGATAAATGTGCTAAAAAATGATCTCCAAAGGGTAGGTAAGATCTGTCAAAATAATAGCACATTTGACTTGATATATAACTTGTTTTAGACATCATTTATTGAGGAGAGAATTTTCCCTTGAGTGATTGTTAATCACATTTTGATCATTGAGATGATTGATCCTTGTTTGAAAATGTGGTTCGTACTGCTACATTGCTAGGAAGATGACCTTATTCATTGAGGAGTGAATGCTCCCTTGAAATAAGTGTCAACCCTTGTATAACTAAGGGGTTTTTGCCTCTAGCGTTAAGATGTGGGGAATCGCTCTTCAATTTGAATACAAAATCAATCTTTTCCAAAATTTATTTTTTCTTCCTTTTCTTTTATACTCATATATAAATTCACTGTGTATTTAGAAAGTAATAAATCAAAAAAACAACAAAGTGTTTCCTCGGCATTGTTATAGGACACGCTCCTAGGCTAAGATCATGTATGAGATAGAGGAACGCAACGAAGAATTGAGGAATGATATCAATCAACTGAAAGAACAAATGAGCCAAATTCTAAAGATGTTACAGTCTACAGAAGTGGTAAATATAGAAGGGACCCCTCAATTAATTAGAGGAGAATCGTCAATTTCTCCTACGTATCTACCTGGTTTTACCCCAATCTCATCACAACTACAAGCTCTACATCTTAATAGACCCGACCAACAAGTTGATCCTCCAGAGGTCCAATGGCCACCATATGGCCTTCCGCCCAACTACACACCTCCAACAATCATGGACCCTCCGGATAAACACCAACCATTGGTTAATTATCCGCCTACACGGTTGCAACCTACCCAACCTGAGGTTTCACCCATGAATGTTGCCTCTTATAAACATCAAGTTCCCTACCAACCTCCTTATTTTTATACCTCACATGGCCTACCCAAATAGCACTACCATCTCACCATATCCTCATCAACCTATCCATCAAGCTCTGCAAGTTTCACTCGCAACACCTACCGCATGACCACCTCAATTTACCTAGCCATGGAACCAAAACTCTAGCCATATGAGGTCACAAAATACCCAAGATCGAAAGCCATTTGAGTTTGACCCTATCCCTATGTCCAATACTGAGTTGTTCCCTCTCCTACTATAAAATTCAGTGGCAAATGAAGTTGGGATCGATTCCTGGCATGTCTGCACTACTCCATGCAAAAAGATCAGCATTTTCAATAAGTATTGACATGATTTGACCTTGAACTTCAGTGTCAATGTGCTTCCCAATCTTGGTGCACTGGTTTGGCTTTTTACCAATCTGGAATTCGATTAATTCATCCAAAGGGTCAGGACGGCGATCATGCATATCAGCTCAGGGATCAAGATCGGCTACTTCTTCTATACCGAGGTGTGCCACGACAGAGGAAGTTGAGACCTTGGGTTGATTGGTTGGTGTAATCTTCAAGGGTGCAATCTTCAAGCTTTGAGCGTAACATTGCCTTGCTATCTGCTGGTTAGCTTTTACGGCTATAATGCATCCATCTGTGCCTGGGAACTTCATAGTTAGATGAGGTGTTGATACGACTGCTCCCAACTGATTCAATGTTGGTCTCCCGATAAGGATGTTGTAAGAGGTGGCAGTGTCAACCAACAAATACTTCACCAATACTCTTCTGGAAGTTTGGGTTGTACCAAAAGAGGTTAATAGTTCAATGAAACCACGAGTATGAACTCGCTCACCTGCGAACCCTATGAGAGGTTCG